AGGCGTTTTGGATTGTCGCTAGGAATCCAAAAATAGGTTTTGGGGTGTGTGTTGCCATAACCGGTAGCCCCGCGCCCTTGCTCGGCCCCAGGAAGTTTCAAGTATGGTGGGGTCGAAAGGAGTTGGGCTCACTTTCCGCAAGCAAGAGTCAGTTCTGGGTCTAGGGGTTTCTCTTGAGTACTGTCTGGCCTTATAAGAGATAGGTCCCAATTGGATCTTCAACTTTCAGGCTCTCAAGAGGGGGAAGAGGTCGGAACGACAGGTAAATGGCGTGCTATCATCTTGGGGAGGATCAAATCAATACCCTAAAAAGTTGCTTTTGCTAAGACCAATAGGAATTCGATTATGGTCTATCTAGCCAAGAAATTTTGTTTACTATTGACAGCGAAATGCAATGATTCCTTTTTTTCGACCACTGCTACGAGGTATCCAAATACGGCTTCCCCTAGAGCTTGTTTGCTTTTGTGGTTCTTACATATGGAAGCATTTCGCATGAGACCAAGCCTCACATAATGATCTATTTTGAAAAGAAATCATTTAAAATATGGCACTTGAAATAAATCAAAATACAAGGAACAGTTGGCTGTAGTATCTTGGTCTTACAGTATACCTTTACCTATACTAAGGAAGAGTACCAAAATTGGTAAACTTACACTGAATCGAGCTTTCGTAAAGTTCGCATTCTGTAGAATCCCTTCTTTCGTTTCAGGAGGAAATCCAGCGATCAAGCATGCATGCCGTTTCGTGGTCATCACTCGAGACGGGCTAGCCTCAATACTTTGACGAGACGGGATCGCAACAGGTTACTTTTTTTTCATGTAATTCGAGTTCACAGGTCTTCAAGGGTAGTGAAGGGTTCGTTGGGGAGAAAACAAGTATTACCAAAGAAGGGAATTTGGCGGAATGTGTTCTCATGACCAAACATATGGGACTGGTTACTGATATCTTCAATTTTTGGACGGTTTTGGCCTTGACGATTCGTTCAAATGTATTTCAACTGTTTATATGGGAAGCATTTATTGTGACTTATCGACATGATTTTTCTTCTCAGATCTGATCCTTCATTGAACAACTCTTGTGAGATTCTGTCGATTCGAGAAGATAGCGCCTCTGTGAGCAATGCTTCATCAAAGGGTTCCGAAAAAGCGAACTCAAAATTCTATCCGGAAGCTCTTGGCAGTTCGAGTTACATCGAAAAGAATGGTCGACTGAGTCTCACTGTCGTAGTACAGACCGTCAATCAGGTATGTTTGAGATCTCATAAATGGCGTTCTAGCAACAAAAGTACCCCAGAACTTGTTTCCACCGTCTTCACTAGGAGAGTTAAACCCCAGGACGTCAGCATTAAACCGTTTGCCCCTACCTACAAGGGCAAACCATAATGGTTGGCATCATCCTGAGATCTGGCAGAGAGAATTCATCGGTCGAAGAGATAGTAGGCGACAATATAAAAAAGCGTTCCCTCACAATGATGGCCAAACACCTCTTTCAGATCATTCCTATCTGCTCTTCCTAATCTTTCCATTTGAAGGCCCAGTTCACGATAGTTCTGAGGTACCCTTTTTTAGGTTCAAAAGCGGAAGTGTTGATGTAAAGGAGTACATCGGTATCGAAGAAAGGGGAAAAATCCGCTTACTTCAGGCTTATCAAAAGTAATGGAGGTGTAGGTTGTACGAGATCACCGTGACAGGAATGCATGTAAGGGGTGTTCGGAGGAGATTTGGCTGGCTCCCATCTTGCACAGAGCTGACTACATCGAGCCATTTCTGTCCAGAACTGCCTTTCACTGTCGCTATGGGTCATGAAAAGTTGTTTAACTTCTTACATGGTTCCTTTATGAATGGTGCGGCCCCTACAAAGCCGTTCAACCTTCCGTTAGGGGTGTGGCTTAAACACGATGCAATCTCTGGTCCCTTGCTGTCCCCTATCCAAAACGTTTTTCGCCCTAATAACGACAGGTGTCGTATAAGGGGCAGCGAGCTTCAAACCATACTATAGGAAATTTCAGAAACCATTTTTAACGTGAACTGCGCCTTTAGGGAAGGTGCTCATCGTACTCGAATATTTTCAGGTGATGGAACGGAATGGTGCGGTCAGATTGTGTGAGTTGGCCCTAAATATCGCCGAAACTCTCCTTCGGATACCAATCGATCAGACGGAAACTTTTTTTGCCCAGCTGACCGTAATGACTTTCAGGTAAGTGTTTCTCAGTAACGTTTTTTTCGCAATTCGTTCTCCCCTTCCTGTTCGTTTTGGATCCGTGACTCCAGCGTGTTTCTTGGGACTGTTTGGGTTTCGTACTCCAGGACCTTCTTACTTGCACTAATAAGCGATTTAATGTGATCTTTTTAAAATCTTTTCGTATCCTTCGAAGTTTGTCCTATTTTTGTTCCATCATCATCCCTTCAGAATCTACCTCTCCCTTGGTTGTCCTCACGGCTGTAACGAGGGCGTGAAAAGTCAGCAAGGAGATTTTCTCAGGGTCAAAGCAAAGTCACTTCTAGCTAACCTCGAGAAATTGCAACAAGTAAGTTTCATGTTTTATTTTTCGAACCCTCGAAATCACTTCAAGCAATGCTGTTGTCCGATAGAACTCATATTTTCTCTTCAACTGCATATACCTGTCCAGACAATTTGGTTCCAGTGATAAATAAAATAAATGATCGTAAAAGGAGGCTTGAGAAACTTACAGTATGTATATGTAGTATGTAGTTATGTATACAGTAGGAAATTGGGGAATGTTCGTTGCGCGCATCCGTCGAAAGTAGGTCACCACGCCCATTTCGCGAGTGGCGCACCCCACTAAGGTATCGGTATGACCTTACAGTACCACCATGTGTCATGGAACGAATGATTTGTATTTGTCCGTGTTATCTTCCCTTTGACCGACTGCCGTGGACCGAGCGCAAATCGTATGCCCCATTGACAACTGTGACGTCCGTCAAGTATCGCGCGCTGACCCGCCGCATGCGACGACTGCGGCGTGACCTAGTTTCGACGGACGTGCAATCTGGGAAAGTCCCAATGGCTTCGGTAAAGTTTTTGTAGTTAGCGATTTTGGCTGCAAACACTCAAAACCGCATCCGAGTGTAATTTCCAAAACAAAGAGAATTTAAGCAAAATTATACTTTATAACCTCTACTTCAGGATCGATTTCGTACCATCTTCGCGAACTACGTGGAGGAGAACAGTCCTCAGCAGATACTCGATCTTATACACTCAATTACTGCTTTTTGTCGCTCAGAATTTCCTCGTAAGTCGACATTTCTAGAAGCATACTACGCAGTGAAATCTCTGTAAGCTACGAAACAACGGCCGCTATTTTAACGTTTCATATTATGCGTTGCAATCGTTTCGGAATTCAGCGCTGACCGAAGAAGATGTGATAAAATTCTGAGCATTGCTCAATCTCTCATGTAATCCCATGTAATCGGCTTATGTTATGAGCGAAAGTAGAAATATCGAACAAAGTCGTAATTTTCATATATTGATACCCCTAGTGGCGGAGATGGTGCAGTGGCTTGTAGCGCACTATCACATATGCATGGTCACGTGTTCAAACCAAGGATCGCTATCCGCCTAGCCGTCTGGGAGGGCTTAAGCGCTGACTTGTACATCGGCTGGAACCCGCAAGTCATTGTATAGGCTACATACGCATTTAGCGCTACCATGATGGATGGTAGTCGAGTACGGAGGCGCATCCTTAAATCGGATAGATTAACTCTCAAAGTTTTTATCTTCAGCCTTTACTATCATAAATATCATTCAACTCTATGTAAGGCAGGTCAGGTAGACCTGAATGGCTGCTTTCATAGTCCGCCGGCCGGCCGGCCGGCGTGACTATGAAAGCAGCCAATGGGATTTGTTCAGTGGGGTTTTTGCGTGAGAGGCTCAACGGGCTGTCACTGATGGGTAATACGTACCCCAAAATGAAATCAACTAGTAGTTGGAGAGGTTTTTCGAGTATTTTCAGCTAAATAGCGGATGTATTTCAACAAAAATAATTACGCTACAAACAATCGCTTCTCATCCAATAACCTTATTCTGAATCCTTTCAGAGGAAGCACGACGCCAATCCGAAAGCAAGGCTCCCTCCTATCGTAATCGGTTTAACGAACGTGAGAAGGGTATCGAGGGACGAATCATCAATGCTACACTACGAGATCTTTCAACAAAACTTGCTCGGATACAAGACCAGTTGATAGAACCGGAGAACATGGTATGGTATTTACAAATAGGGGTTCTATTAATTAAGGGCAGGGTATGGAAAAGGTCCAAATATCCACTTATGGCAACGTTCAATACTTCATTTATGTCCATCTCGCTTAGAGAGGATCAGAGACACAGTTCACGATAGTTTTGAGATACCCTTTTTGCAGCTGAAAAGCGAAAGTGTTGGTTGAAAACAGGTCATCAGTGGCAAGGAAAGTGGAATGATCCGTTAAAAAAAGGCTCCTTGAAGTTAGTAAAAATTGAGGTTGTACGAGATCACCATGACGGAAGTGGCATAGAAGAGTATTAGGACCAGATTTCAGTTGTTGCAGTTGCGTGAAGGCTGGAAAGGAAATGCTCGAGACTGCTTTACACTACACCACTGGTCACTACCACTTGCATTAATTTCCAATATGGGTGTCCCTTGTGAACGGTGCAACCTATACANAGAGGATCAGAGGCACAGTTCACGATAGTTTTGAGATACCCTTTTTGCAGCTGAAAAGCGAATGTGTTGGTTGAAATCATGTCATCAGTGGCAAGGAAAGTGGAATGATCCGTTAAAAAAAGGTTCCTTGAAATTAGTAAAAATTGAGGTTGTACGAGATCGCCATGACGGAAGTGGCATTGAAGAGTATTAGGACCAGATTTCAGTTGTTGCAGTTGCGTAAAGGCTGGGAAGGAAATGCTCGAGACCGCTTTACACTACACCACTGGTCACTACCACTTGCATTAATTTCCAATATGGGTGTCCCTTGTGAACGGTGCAACCTATACAATGCCGTTAAAACTTGTCCATCTTTGGGTGTGGCGTTCAGCCAGTACAATGCTTGGGCTGTCTTATCGTCCTGCTGAGCCGAATTCCGATCTGATAGCGTCACATGCGGTATTCGGGGGTAAGGTTTCACAGATTCATTCTAGTGAGATATCTCAGAAACCGTTTTTGTATGGACCTGTGCCTTTAATTGTGACGGTTCGTTGACCCCTGTTGTCTTCCTCGCCCTAATTGGTTTATTTACAGTGGTTTTACTGCAAAAACTTTTCTCCCTGTGCTTTTGTATGGGAGAGGAATCAAGTTGACATAAAGTTGAACTTGGTCATATATCACTGAAAAAGCGTGGCTGTTAAAACGATTTGAAGGCCTTGGAATGGATTAAAATAAAAATCAAAAGACTATCTTTATTAATGGAGCTGATCTATGGTATCTGGCTGGTCCAACATTTTCATATTGAAGAGTCTACTCGGCGACGTGCGGATGTTGGTGAATTTTATACAAGAACAACATGGAAATCCATTCCGACGAGTTGGTTTGAGTGCATTGTTGGATGCAATCAACAAATCGCCAAAGTTGGAAAGGTCAGAAATTTGAAACTTATGCTTCTTAATTTCTTTTTCTCTCGCTATCATTTTCATGCTCATTTTTATTAATTTCTCAACAATTTTTAGCCAGCCCATCGAACCAGCCCCCGTTTTGCCCACCCAAAAACCTTCTCCCTGTCCCGTCCGTCGATCGATACTACGACTCCGTAAATCAATGTTTGATGAGCGTCAACCGCCCATGGGCATCACATTGGGAAGAAGTTATCAACAGCACTTGCGTATCACCGTGCCACGAGATTGGCAATCATTAGAGTGGGTACACTGTGCATGAACCTAACTAGCAGGAATTGGCGAAGGGCCAAGTCTCATTCCCTCATTGGATGACAAGTGTTTTAACCAATCAGAGACGAGCCCCACTGTCGCTACGGTGTGTCCTAGACTCACATGTATAGAAACGATCTCACCATTCTAACCTACATATGTAGTCATGATTACCCTTCGTCCTCCAGTGCTCAGTGGTGTTGATGCTGCGGAACAGTCCATGCGTATAGTCTAACTTGCTGTCTACCGGTGTTCTCATCCATGACCCCATGCGTCCGTCGTTATCTTTTTGTCTTCTCCTGAAGTGTGGCGTCAAAATGGTAACATATCGCCGTCTGGGCTATTCGTGCCCACATTGTCGACTCACAACGATCGTGGTCTGAAGTCTGAACTAACCAGTCCCTGTGCAAAAATGATTAGCAAACGGTGTCAGAGTCCATGTCTACGAGAAGTCAAGTCAAAAACTAATTCAACCTCTGTAACGCCACATCCACCTCTCTCTAAGGTAGTATTATATGTGCTTGTGTTCCAGCTGCGATATGCCACGAAAACATGCTGAAAGTGGCAAAAGCAGCCCTGGTGGATTGGCCCCACCAGTTCGTGGAGACCAGGCATCACTCAGGCGGGGACTGTTTCGGAAAAGAGACAAGGTGAGTCGTTTCACAGAGAATTGTTCAGAGAGAAGCGGAAATGTATCGTTCATTGAGCTGCTAGGACAATATCTTTTCCCTTTACTCATTAATTAGCCAACAATTCTGTCAGTCAGGACCCCTTTTAGTCATCGCACGACTCGCTGCTGAAGAGTGCCCAGGAAGAGGTTTCTGATGCCGACTCGTCACCGTCAACGCCGCGTACCGCTTCCTCGATCGACGACGGCTTGTCACCCTTGGTCTCGGCCGCTATGATGAAGAAAAAGAGCGCCCCGAAGCTGCACTTCGGTATGTTCCTTGTAGGCTTCCCACAGATCGAATCGTTTTTTTATTTTTTAATGTATTTCTGAAAATGTGGTGGAATTATTTATTTTTTTATTTATTTATACGTCCCAATAGACGCGCCGGCTAATCAGTACGCGAACTCAAGACAATTGTTGACAGTAAATAGAAAAAAAGTGGAAGAAAAAGAGAAAAAACAAGGGAGGCTGCACCAGGGGACTACTATACCCCATCGAATAAGGAGAGGATTTTGGGGTGAATGCGTTCTAGGCAAGTGTTTCGGTAGAGAATGATAATCTAGGAACGAAAGGGTGTATTCCTGACTGAGGCAGCAGAGGTAAGCTATAGGGCGAACACCTGCACCAGTCGGCCATGGTGTCCTTAGCGTAAGGGTGAGATCATAGGCACTTGCCGGGACTTCGGCACACGGGTATACCGACCACCCTCGTGGACCCGGCAAGTTAGGTATAATAATTAAAGCTAGCTAGGTATAATTATGATGGATCTCGAAAGCATCTCTCACTCTTTAGCGTTCAACTTGCTGAAATCCAGCAGAACTGACAACATGGACGAAGAGTGCTCCGATTCGGAAACGGCAGATGAGCTGAGCGTAAGTTCAACACTTTCCTCTTTGGTGCTAGCCATAATTTTCATTGCCTGATATCCCTTAATTTTTTTCATTCAAGACCATGAATTTCTTCTTTCCGGGATAGCCCACTCAATACCAGTCTACGTAGCTCATCTTTCACTGTGACTATGCACCTGGGCAGTCTGGCCTTACCAAAAGCGGATACTTCTCTTGCAAGAAGTTGCGCTGTTGCGTTTCCAGTTTTCGTTTTCAGTGGGGTTTGAACATCTCTGCATGCACACGATACCTAATGCTTTACCTTTGTACTGTACTTTTTAACAGATGAACTAATGAGCCTTTATATTCATTCGAGACGGCATTTCATTTCATTCGCTACATGTTTGGAGTAGGCTACCTCCCATTCCTTGAGACTTTCTAAACTTCATATGAAATGAATCATAGCACTGATAGTCCCTATTCAGGAAATCGAATACCTCACTGCGAAAAGGCCTACCAGTGGATCTATACGCAACAAGCCATCAAAAACCCCTTTGGATGGTGATTTTTTTCGTTTTTCATAGTTTTTTTTNNTTTTTTTTCTTTATCGCAGCTCTTTACCTTTTGATTTGGATTATTTATTTTTATACGAAAGTGACTGGAGAAGAAAACCTAGGGCCAGGAGTTTCTAAAGGATTATTTTCAGCCCAAGGAAATATCCGCCTCTATGGTATTCTGGTGCCAGCTCCTCGAACGCTCGATAACAAGGTAAATCAAATGATGTCAAGGCTCGAGTGACTGTTTAAGCTAACTATTCAACGTCGTCTTTGCAACGAAACTGGGTTTTCAGGGTATTTTCGAAGGGGTTCGGCGATTTGCCTTTCTTTTGGAGACCACTCGTCCAGGCACATTTCCTGATCCACCGTTAATCGCTGCTCTTTTGCATCTGGTGAGATTCTTTTTTTCAAAACTTTTCGCTTAATTATGCAATATTTTTCTTCTGATCTCTTGTGATTATGAAGTCGCCTATCGGACTGTTCCGATTTTGGAAAACTTCGAAAGGAAACACACCCAAATATTAAATGGAGCCAGGTTGCATTTGTGTAGTCATTAAATCTCTGCCATATTGAGTCTACCGTAACCTTCATTGTTTGCATCAGTTTGATCAATACATTCGCAGGAAATTGAAAACAAAAACAAAAAATATGGGCATCGATTGGCCTCCTCGTGTATAGTCCAGGTCCACCACAGCATGGGTAACTACTATTTGGAAGTGATATACGGTAGCGGTCATCTTGTTTGGACCCATCTGTTCTTCACCCTCTGTCCTATCAAATAGTGGGAGTCATTCCTTCATTGTGTAAGGTTGGACCAGTTCCAAACATGCAGTGCCTCCGTTCATGGCATTAGCTACTTAGATAAAATTGAACTTGTATTTGGAAACGGAACGAATGGCCGAGCGTTGGATAGCTTTTTTATTGCCTTATTTTATTCTTTATTGCCTTTATTTTTATTTTTTAAAGCTTGTGCGGCTACAAATCATTCTCATAGAGAATCTGAAGCTAGGTTAAATAACTTCCCTAAGTGGATTCTCTAGTACTGGAGATGTAATGTCGGGTGCTGCAGTTGAGGTGAACACACCTCCCTTTCTGGAACTAGAGGAATGCTTCCCTTATCTACTTTTAAGCAAAAGTTCAAAAGCTCAGTTTACGATAAAAATGGCTTCTGAGTATTACCTACTGTATGAGTTCGGGCACTCTACTAATGCCATATGTGCCAGTGTTAGGTCGAGGAACGCCATGGATAAAGCACGATAAGGGGCCAGACATTGTATCGTGTGAATGCCACACCCTTACCAGACGAGTTTCAACGCAGTTCACAAAGGAACCCATAGAAGGAGTTCAAACAATTGATGGCCCATGGCGGAAGTGGAAGACAGATTTGTACAATATTGGCTCGATATAGTCCGCTCTTTGCGTAATTGCACCAGTTGAAATCTCGTCCGGATACCCCTTCCATTTCATTTCCGCCATGGTAATCTCATCCAACCTCTATTTTCGCTACTTTTAGGGAGCCTTTTTTCTCACGAAAATGGCTGGTTTCCTCGCTTTCTTTGCCACCGATGCACTACCCCCAACCAACACATTCGCTTTTCGACTTAAAAAGTGTAGCTCAAAATTATCGTGAACTGTGCCCTTAAAGAAGATGAGCAACCCATGTGAAGAGCCTAGCTGTTTTAGTGTTGGCATGTCTTATTCGACATTCTGTCTACTCAAGCACTGATTAATCTCACTGAACCTACTGAATACTTGCCCCTTTCCTTCTCACCTGAATTGGTCTCTCTTTGCTCTTGATTCCTCAGCTTCGTATATATTGAAGGTTCTTGCCTGACAATACTCCCAAGACCTTTCAGAAGTCTCCAGTGCTGGCTCGTGCAGCGCTTCTCCTCGAATGCTGTCATTTCGTCTCGCGATGCAATCGAGGTCAATGGCCTGAGTGGATTCGCAGTAGTCATCATCGAACACTCAGTCTTGGTGGGCCTCTGGCTAATCGAGGTGGGTATTCTCTTCCAAAATGCTTTCAGACTTTACTCCTAACCTACTTCTGACATGGAAGTTTACATCGTACCGCGTACTCGAAGGAGCTTGAAATCTTTTCAAAAATGCTGTAACGAGCATCCTTTTAGGCACTCCATCAGGCACTCGCAGGATGCATTCTCTTCAACGAACAGCTGGCCGGTATTTTTATCAGTGGGCTATACAGGTGAGAGATCGGCGGAAAAGTGGGCGGACAATAATTCAATGCAGTCAATCCCTTTTCAGATAGGAGATCAATTATCTCGACTAATCGACATCAAGGAGTCGAAGGAAAAGGCAGTGCTTAAGATGGAGGACTCAATGGAGGACTTCTTTGACGATGGTGAGCAGATCCCTCCACCTCTTGTACATTCCGTTGCCAAACTTAGGTAGTTTTCCGCACCCAGTGTGCTACACATCAAATATACAGGTCCCTGTTGCAATGGCACCACCGAGTAGCATTTGGTTTTTCTTAAATCTCATGCCAACGAAATGAAGCGACCTTGTCAGAAGCACAGCGTCGCCATTTCATCGCTGATGGTGGATTTTGGTCATGGGAGAAATATCGAACTACGGACCGTAGTCCAGTCTTCTCTTTCCTTCCTTATTCAGAATCGTGATGCTCTCATACAGTGCGTTTCATAATTATAAGGTCACCCTCAAATTTTGCACTTTCAGAAAAAACAATCATTAAGGATATTTTCTAGCATCATGAACGTAATCCCCAGCATGAATAACCTAGGTTTCCGTTTTTTAGCCGCAGCTGCATCCTTCTGAACTTTTTTAGAACAAAGGTAGCAAAGGCATTTCTAAACCTGGCCGTTACATCAAGAAGGTAGGCT